GTGGGAAGTGTTGCCGCTTATAGGCACCCAGGGGGGGGTATGTAATTGCCCCAGGGCACTGGGTGGGGGCTCGAGCCGGTTTTGCATTGTGTTATTGAAACGGACCCCCTAGAAACAGAACCCGGCCCTTGTTGCTGCCAACTTAGATGGGCAGAAGGGTTACATATGTAAGGAAATAATTTGTACCATCAAAAATTCTGTTTACCTCTAATAAAGAGCTAGTCACTAATAGCTATTTTATAAAAATGTGTGGTCTGGGTATTCATGTTTCTTATAAAAACTGCAAAAACGTGCATCTTTAGCTATCAGTTCACAATCTTTCCCTTTTCCACACTTGGCTTATCTCAGTCTCTTCATTGCCTAACATGGGGCTAAGGGATATATGAACATCATGGTATCACCTACAGCTGTATTGAATTATATATTTTTACGTGCACAAAGATTTGATAAGCTCTCTTTTTAGCAGTATTTTCTTGGGCCTGCCTACCAGAATATTGTTATGGAAGCCCCACCCTTTATTTACTGTTCTGGGACAAATTAGCATTCTTGTACAAATCAGCAAATATGTTTCTGTTTCATCACATACAAAATTAGAGATGTTAGAGAATACCTGCAAGAGGATCTTATTCCCATCATGGTCTTCTGTTTGCCACCTGCCTTCACTGATTGGGCTACAAGGATTGGGCAAGAGAGGAACAAGCTGTCCAACATCTTCTACTCGGAATTCCAGCACCGCTGACTCTGTAGGGGTTGGAATCTGGCCCTTAGGGAGTCTTTTTAAAGAGAACTGAATGTCTATATCCATGTTAGAATAGACAGGAAAGACACAAAAATCCGCCTTTTTCTGACACACCGGTCTTTTCAGGATTAACTGGTACAGTTTCATAATGTCAATAAAGTTTTCATTCCTGCAGTATATGGCAAAGCGGATAATTTCTCTCCCATAATGCACTGGGCGGATGGCCCACAAAGGGGTCCCATGGGCCAAAGTGAAGAAGTCCTGACTGCATGGCATGTAAGGGAGGAACTTGCCTTGCACTCGTTCTGTATGGTGGTAATGCCAAGGTGGTCTCTGAAAGGTTTCATGGAGCTGTAAGATTGGTTCTTCTCCATATTCCTCCTGCAGAAACAGAATGACTGCAAGGGCTGGCTGAGAAACAGCAGCCTTACCAGACTTCCTGTGCTTCCTTGAGACCCGTCTTTCTGAGACTCGGAACAACTGGAGGTCTGGATGGATCCATGCTAACAGTTTATCAATGGCTTGCTGGAGAACTTTGGATTCACCAGGGTCTGCAATGATATGTATACTAACAAGGAAAGGGTCCTGATTGTCTTCCACAGAAAGTTCACCTGATAGTATAAAAACAAAATCTGTATTAGGTTTTAAAAATTATTTAGCAATTCCTCATATTGTGTCGTGATTTATGTAGATTATGAAGGAGAAATACATTATTCAGTCATTGCTCAATCTCGGGTGGCTGAATGCCACTTGTCCCTCTAAGACAGTCAGTTACAGTGATTTTTCTATATCAAGCTGGCCTACAATAGTCAGCAATATCTAGAGGTAAATATAGCCATAAATAAAAGAACCTAACAGAAAACAAACTAGTATTTAGACTACTCAAAATGGGCTAGGCACTATACATTTCAGTGTAGAAAGAGACAGTCCCTGCCCCAAAGAGTTTACAGTCTGAAGGGCAAAAAGCAAAGAATTGGGAGAAAGTGATACAATCAACAAACAAAATGGTCAGGATCAAAATGGATATCTGGCTTGTTCATTCCATGTTTTTGTTTTAATTTGTGCCACCCGGCTTGTGCATGGAATTTACACAATGGAATTCTATTCTATCACCTTGCCATTAGTGTTTCCCACTGATTTAGAGTATTCAAGGGGCCTGAAGGCAAGTATCAGAAGATTTTATATACTTAGTGAAGATGTATCTGCTTAGTAATAGGAAGTAGTACAAACATCATGGTATTCAAAAGCCGAATGTCATTCAGGCAAAAATTACTTGTTACCACTCAAACGCATGAGGGAATCTCTATGATGTAGTCCCTGAAATCTCCCTGACTACATAGAAGCAGGTTGGGCTAATACCAAGTGACAGCTGGTTGGAGGTCAGTGGAGACATTGCCAATTTCACTCTGTTGAAGTTGTGTGTGAAGAGAGGTGTATATAAGCAGAGACCACAGACAGCTCAATAGATCACTTGGCTAATTTAGCTATTTAGTTGAAATTAGGGCTGTCAAGCGATTAAAAAAATTAATCACAATTTAAAAAACTGAACGCGATTAATCGTGTAATTAATCGCACTGTTAATAGAATACCATTTATTTAAATATTTTTAGATATTTTCTACATTTTCAAATATATTGATTTCAATTGCAACACAGAATACAAGTGTACAGTGCTCATTTTATATTTATTTTTATTACAAATATTTGCACTGTAGAAAACAAAAGAAATAGTATTTTTCAAGTCACCTAATACAAGTACTGTAGTTCAATCTCTTTATCATGAAAGCTGAACTTACAAATGTACAATGTAAAACTTTAGAGCCTACAAGTCCAATCTGTCCTAGTTCTTGTTCAGCTAATCGCTCAGAAAACATTTTCAGAAGATAATGGTGCCTGCTTCTTGTTTACAATGTCACCTGAAAGTGAGAACGCAAATGTAAACAAACTTGTCTGTCTTAGTGATTGGCTGAACAAGTAGGAATGAGTGGACTTGTAGGCTCTAAAGTTCTACATTGTTATATTTTTGAGTGCAGTTATGTAACAAAAATAATATATATTTGTAAGTTGCATTTTCATGATAAGGAGATCACACTACAGTACTTGTATGAGGTGAATTGAAAAATACTATTTTTTTGTTTATAATTTTTACATTGCAAATATTTGAAATAAAAATTATATAATGTGAGTACTGTCCACTTTGTATTCTGTGTTGTAATTGAAACAGATATATTTGAAAATGTAAAAAAAAATCCAAAAATAATTAATAAATTTCAATTGGTATTCTATTGTTTAACAGTGCAATTAAAACTGCGATTCATCATGGTTAATTTTGCGATTTTTTTTTAGTTAATCGTATGAGTTAACTGCGATTAATCGACAGCCCTAGTTGAAATGGTTCTCTTTATTTGTTACTCTGATATTACCTTTATGCATGAGACTGAAGTGGAGGCATAACACCTACATATGATAGATTGACGAATAGTTCCTAAGCTTTTAACTGTGTGGACCACATTTTAATAGCAAGATTAGTTTATGGACTGTCTCCCCTTGTATTGGCGACTGTGTGAACTCCTTCCCTGCAGATTGGTAACTGGTATGTACAGCATATACCAATCATGCATTAACCTACAGGAGATTTGGGCAAGTCAAACTGATTATCAGAAATATAGTGGCAGTGAAGTTCTCGTGTCTCTGTCATGAAATGGGTGATGAGGAGTGACTGTGCCGAGTGGTTAAGGGAAGAGAACAATAATCCGAAGCAAATCAATCACTGGTCATAATAATGTAGAAGGGCTCTCCTGCAGAGAATACTGCAAGTGCTATTGCTCCAAGGTATCTATTGCTGATGTCCTTCTACAGGCTAGGGGGAACAGCGACTCTGAAACAAGAAATGGGAATGGGGACTGAGGGGAAAGGAAATCTAATGTAAGCAGAGTTGGGATGAGCTCTACCCTGACATCTGGTGGTGAATTATGGCGAGTGTGGAAAAGAACTTCAGGGGCTGATCTTGTTTGCATAGGCACACCCACCCGCCTGGCATGAGACAACAGCAACTGAAAGTGGTTACTTTGGCTGGTGTGGGATCCGCAGTTTCTCTGTTATTGGGGCAGGAAGAATAAAGTTTTGTTACCCTGATTCTGTGAATCAAGGCCAGTGGAACTGTTGTATGACAGAAGGACTCACCATTAACTAAGTAGCACTTGCTTGACAAGGGACATGGGTTACAAAACCTAGTGAATTGAGAGAGGCTGGGGGGCAGGTATTTGTATCTGGTGGTGTTGGGCCCCTTTTGTGAGCCTGAAACCAATTCCCCCTCCCTCGTTGAATGTCAGAGCTAGCTTTGATTCCATTAGGAGTCTAGTTACAGGCTGCTGAGCTGAATTCACTTTGGGCCAATAGTGCACCAGCACTGGGGCTCCCCTACTACTAGCTGAAATCACAAAAGAGCTAAAATCACAAAAGAGCTGAGATCACTGACTGCTGTGTTAACTAGTGGGGGAGCCTGAAGCTATATTGCTAAGCGGCTGGTGGAGCAGTTTGTGGGGATGGCTGGAGGAGCAGCTAGCAGAGTGGAACCTTGCGGGGATGGTTGGAGCGGCCCAAGGAATGGCGAGCGGAGCGGCTCAGAGGTTGGTGAGCGGAGCGGAGCCGAGTGGAGCAGCTGGTAGAGCAGAGCAGTTCGTGGGACGGCAGGAGCGGCTCACGGGACGGCTGGTGGAGTGGAGCGGCTCATGATGAAGGCTGCGGCGGAACCCCACGGAGAGGCGGCCGGTCGGCCTCGGATCACGTAAGGGGCCCCTTAACACCCTGCGCGCCTCCCCCTCTTTGAACTCTGGGGCTGCACTGACCAGGGACAGAGACTTTGGGGGTTGTTGGATTTTTAGGACTTTGGTGATTCTTGGATTGCTGGACCCAAGAACCAACGGGAAAGGACACGGCCCAATTTGCTGGGGTGGGTCTTCGCTCATGGTTTGGTCTATGCACTCTAGTTGTGGTGTTTTCCCAATTTAAAGCTATGTCGTTTACCTCATGTTCTTAAACATTTTCTGCTACACCGAGGCTCTGTGCTTGCGAGAGGGGAAGTATTGCCTCTTTGAGGCGCCCAGGGGTGTGTAAGATTTTCCCAGGTCCCTGGGTGGGGGCTCGAGCTGGTTTTGTGTCACGCTGTTGAGAGGGGACCCCTATGTACTGAACCCGGCCCTTGCTGCTATCAACTCGGCCTGGCAGAAGAGTTACACTACTAAAACCAAAAAGAAAATAATGTGGATTAGTTATACAATCACACTTTTTTCTAAGAGCGGAATGCAAGATGTTCAAATCTGTTCTCCCTTCATTTCCTTTGATAGCATTTATGTAACAAAGACTGCAACAAGGGACAGGCCTGATATTTATGCAAATAGATAGCTACAGCTTTGTAAGAAGCCTGGGCAGAAGGATGTGAAGCAAAGAGCCGCCATTCCTGTGGGCTGCTTACTTTGCATAAAAAAAATGACTGAGCATGGCCTTTCTGCCCTCTTGTCACTCAGCATGGTAGAGGGGTACTGAATGGTCTAAAGCATTTTCAAAAGCCAAGCTTTGTGAGAACCAGCATTAGCATTAGTATTCCAAAGCTATCACCAAATGTACCCGTCAGCACAAGATGCTAAAACAAACAGCCTCAGAGGACCACCAGTGTACAGCAGAAAGCCATCATTAGTAGCTAAAGCTACGTATACACCAGAGAAAATCATCTTTTGTTGAACTAGAAGAAACCATGAACTAAGCCAAAGGGGGAAATGAGTAACTAATAAAAGCTGAAAGAGCTTCCATATCAACTTTACATTAGCAGGGACACTTCTACTATAGTACTGGTCCTACCTTTATACCTGCAAAAGCCAGTCTTTTCATTAAGGTAAGAAAAATGTAAACAGGAATATGAGGAGAGGAGTTTGATGAAACCTCTCCTAAGCTGATTACATGGTGTGAACTACTTCTGTGCTATTAGCAAGACTTTCTACTTCAGCTTGCACTTATCAAGAAAGGGGAGGGGAAAGAGCCACCGCTTCTCAAGTTAGTGCAATTCAATTTGCCCTCTGGCAAATTGTCACAGAGGCAAATTAAAGTTCTGCATATATATTAGGCTTTCTGTGCAACTGATTAAACCCACCAACAAAATGCTGAAACATTTATTTGAACCTAAACCGTACAGTTCTCACAACTGTTCTATTTTTTCCCCATGGCAGATGGGAATTGTTTCCTTTTGGGGTGGCAGAAACATTAAAATTGCTAAAAGGGAAACATTATCAAGATTTAAATAATATTTATATATGTTTTAACTTGTGTTACTACCACCAGCTGGAAGACTTTGAACTGAGATAAGTTAGCAAACCGAGAGCCTGATCCCACAGGGGCTGAGCGCCCTCAGTGCCCATTGGCTTCAATGGGAGTTCAGGGTGCTCAGCATACTGCAGAACTGGATCCAGGATTTTTTCTTTTTCCGCGGGTACAGCTTGATATTCTGTTGCTGTTTGCTTTGTTTAAACTATAGATGTTTGTTTATTTCCTGGGCAGAGAAACGGGAGGTCTCATAATGGCAAGGCAGCAGTCCAATCTTCCCTATATTATTTCATCAG